AAAAATATAGAGGTGTTTGAAACGAATATGGTTTATAAAAACCAGAGAACCTCAGCCGATGTGCCATTTAGAGGTCGATGTTTGCCCTCTACAGGGGCAAAAAAAAAGACATTTTGTCTCCACTTCCAGATGGATTTAAGCACATTTTGCTCAATTCAGACCGAATGGTCCCAACTTATTATTAAAGAGCGCATTCCATTCTATAAGAAAATCTTCATGGTGGCCACCTACGTGGACGGCATCAGAAGAATTTGCCCTGGAAACATGGTGCACTGGTCGAGCTCAATGGGGTCTTCGAAGGATCGTGTACCATAACGACCCTTACTGGAAAGCTAGTTTCCGAGGGGATTTGCACAGTGGTAGCTAATGCCTCTAGAAAACTATCCAACATTAAATCGATTCACGAAATTGCGTAAGAGCTTCAGGCTGAAGCTCTTACGGTAGACCTCCTTGAGCCTGACGACGGTGACAGATGACGTCATATTCTGAAGACGGTGAGGGCAGTGAAGGAGAGCCTGCGTACACTAATAGAGGAACACTTAGGGAATACTCTGCTGAGGAACTCCCGTCAACGACAGCAATCTCTGCGAAGAAAAAAGAGCCGAAGTCCGACATAGGCAAAATGTCTTTTTTTTTGCCCCCCCCCCTGTATATAGCATTCGTTTGCTTCATATACGCTTTTGTTGAGATAATTCAATACATCCGATTCTGTTGGGGGATTTTAGAGAAGTCTTGACCCGTTCTGTGAAAATAGTCTTTCCTTGCGGTGTGTGTTGTTTGAACGTCCTGTACTCTTCCACCTGATCTGTCTCAACCTATCTTGCATGTTTGTCTTTTTACCTTGCACTTAGAGTGTTTTTCGTGTCTTCATCAGCATTCAGTCCAATAAATAACTTCACTTCATAGAAAAAAGCTTACCATTAGTTGACTCAGGCGGGATATAATAATGTCTCTATGACATAAGCGCTGCCCCGGCAAGTCATTCAAGAGCAAAAACTAAAATTAATCAATTAGTTTCAAAGTTTTCCTTAGCGCGGGCTCCCGCTAGTAGACTAGTTTTCCATAGTAGCTGAGGACGACCAATAGCCTGGCGACTGTCACCGAGTGTAGCCGTTTCTTCGCACGATTTAGAATAGAGGCGGTTCAACATTTCGTTATTTCTAGAAAAGGAGGCGCCCCTTTTGGGCTTGAACGAGTTGTAATGATTCTTGGAGAAGTGCGAACGGTGGTGCTCTAAAGGGAGTTGATATATAAACGGGTTTTTGACGGATTTACTGAGTGTTCTTACGAAAGGAGCGTGAATTAGTGAATTAGACAAAATTGGAGGGGTGGGCAGTGTGTAGTGTGTTGAATGGTCTCAGAATCAAATACTATAGGAAAAGTAAGAGGGTGCGTTCGATAATCAGAGTTGAGTATTCCTAAGTCGCATTAGTGGTGTGAGAGGTCGCCGTCGAGATCTCTGAAAGGGGGTGGGGGGGAGCAAAATTTGAGAAGTGGCGAATTCGCGGACGACCCTGCTGTGCTCATCGTATGACCGAGAATTAGATATGAGACAGCAAATTTAAGCGAGTGGGCCATGTTTATTTTTTTATTTTTTACAAGCGCTACATCACCCGGCATGGTAACTTGTTGACTTCTTCTGGTTGAACTCCACGCGAATTTGCTATAGATTTATTGACGGCCAGTTTTTCGGCGGGTTGCTTTCCACAGAAAAGGCTTCGAAGCGATTTCATGACTACCCGACCAAACGTCTCAACTACCCTATGAATTTCGAGACAAAAGGGTTATCACGTAGTGGTAAGGTGGGCCACTCACTGTAACTCAGTCCGGTCTCCGAGACCTCTCAGAAACAGAGTGGGACAGTCAGCGATCCGGGTTAATCGTGATTCAGAATCTCAGAAAATTTCCAAATAGTATTTGGGGTCTGTTTTTTGGACTCTATGAAACTCTTCCAAAATAAGTTTCTGGTGCCTCTTTGTGCATTCCAACATTTATGGTTAGGTTCTGGTTAGACTCTGGGAGAGCACAATATAGAGATAAGGATGTGTTGTTACTTGTGGCGCCCTTCTTTCGAAACAGAGACGTTGCACAAATTTTGATTCTCTGAGCATGCGTTTGAGAGCAACGCTGCAAAGCATTTGGAGAGCTGTTCGTGTTGCTCCTCGTAGACTAACGGTGGTAACACTATTCTTTCATACAAATCCCATTAACTTCAATAACGTTGCTATTTTAGAAGCAGCTAGTTTTTGCGTTGTTTTTCCTTTGTTTATTGTGACTAATGTTGTTATTACCCTATGTTGTGCGCGAATAAAGTTGGCATTGATCTTTCAGTGCTGATCAGAGATTGCCATTTCTATCTCAAAAGAGCTTCGGAGGAATCTTCCACGGAAAAAGCTCCGCCTCCATTACCACAGAAAAACGATACCTTAGGCCCCTAGCCTCATGAGCATAGCAAAAAGAACGGAACATAAGCGTTAGTTTCGATAATACTAATCCTACACACAAGACAAAATGATCACTCTTTCCGTGGAAGATTCCTTTAAAGGACGAATTCACGTGGAAAAGCAACCCATTTCAAATTAACCTAGCGATGGTGAGTGGTACACTAAGAAGGAAAACCAATGAGAAACGGCCCAGAACCTGAGAAATGGAACCCCTTCCTTGCCCGTTGATTTGAGCTATCATCGCTGTGCCCTCTCCAACACTACGCTCTCTCACCTATCTAATCACTCGCCACGTATAGACCTGCGGCGAGTGATCAGATGATCGGTGGGCGTGCACTGACCAGCCGCGGCGGGATTAAACCTTAATAGGTCAACGAGGTCAACTCCTCCTGTGCAAATTGTGCTTCAGTTCGCACACTTAGGAGCTCCGCGGGTCCCTCAACCAGGTGAATTCTTCCTAATTCGATTTTCCCTCTGATCGTGAATTCGTCCTTTAAGGTATCGTTTTCTGATGGTATGAAGGCGGAGCTTTTTCCGTGAAAGATTCCTTTACCCGAGGTAATGACTGTCCGGACGTGACAGATTAGGATTATTATGCTAGCGCTGTGGTACAGGCAGCGCACACAGTTGCCAATACAGTAGGCAACTATCCATGTGCAGCACTTTTGTTTTCAAGTTGTAGTGGTTTCTGACACATAAAGGTCCGCAAATATACGAACAGGCTAAAGTGAACGTGGGGGGGGGGGGCAGTTTGACGCAGACAGTCCAGAGGCGGTGGGAATGCTTCCCGACAGAAGATGGGACCATCCCTGTAGTGTAGGACTCTCACGAAACTCTCGGGAACGGTAATGACACCGGTTCTCGGGGATACCCCTCCATTGAAATGCAATCAGGGAGGCATTCCTATGATTGACAAGCAGTCCGGGAGACGTTTCCGAGAATCCGTCGCATTACCGTCTTTTCCCGAGAAGTTTTGGGGAGAGCATACGTTACCAGGGAGGGGTCCTCCTGTTCGGAGAAGCATACCTTACGGCCCAGGGCATCTATTACATGGCAGATGTTCTTTTATTGTGGGAGTATAAAACAATTCTGGCCCAAATCTTCTTTTGACCAGCGAACTGGTTCACTTTGGAGCTTTATTCTCCTTTAAAAACTGGAAGTACTGTAGTCAATACAAACTGTTGCACAGAATTACCCCCTAGGACTACGCCAGCACCTAAACATAAGCATACAATATTGGAGCGTGGGTATGGTGAACTCTGTTTTAGGGGTGTTCAAGCAGACGGCTTTCTTGCGGTTTTTGTCGTCATCTTTTACTATTCAATTTTTTTAGAACTGACGTTCCCAGAACCGCCGAGTACGTTCGCTGGTAGCAGTAATAATGGTGGAGGTGGGACTGGTGGAGACCTCGATTTCGACGAGCTGGCCAGACGATTTGATCAACTAAAGAAGAAGTAACCAACAGCCCTGTTGGGCTCAAACGCTTTGATGCCATTCAGCGACTTCATGCCGGCTTTGCACTTGACGTCAGAGACTTCTGTACTTGTATAACCTCTCAATATTCACAAAAGTAATTGTCTCTTACGCTTTGTTTCTTTTTGGAAAGCCTACTCTTTCTCTCCAATTCAATGTTTCCCATCATTCACAAGTGCAAAGGGCGTGGGTTATGTACCTGCGTCCGAAGCATTTAATTTGACGGCAACTTTGTGGATCGGTTCTATTCAGTGGCAACGCGCCGCCCTTTTTTTTCGATTTCGACAAAACTTGAAATACATCTAATTTTAGTTTAGTTTGGAGAAAGCTGTCATGTGTATGATTGTTTAGTATGTCATTTAGATTTGTTAACCTACTTATGTAATCCGCATTGTATCTTGGCGTTCAAGTGATTGCTGTTGTATAAAATTTCTATAACACACATCTTGTTGACGTTAATTCGTAATAACACGTCCAACCATCGTAGTTCTTTGTCATCTTCATCATGTTTTCGTGTTTCTCCTCAACATCTCTTTCAGATGGCTGCCAGTAAGTCGGTCAAGTTTGCGTACAATAATTCTGTAGTGAACTGGATGCGCAAGTTCGCATGGAATCACCTCTGGGGAGGTTTGTCCTTACAGTTAGTACCTAAAATATACAGTATTTTGGAAGAAAAATTGGTGCTCGGAGTGCAGATTAATGTCCTGTTCATTGCAAAAGAGCGAGTTTCGCTTCGGTTGGCTTGTCCATGCTAAGGTTCACAAAGGTCTACCTCTTTACCGTTTAAGTCGCAGCTATATTATTTATTGGATTATCTGTAGGTTATAAATTATCGAATGGGAATAAATACGGGCCATGCGATTTTTACGACGTATGCCGGTCAGCAATTGGTCAATCCCCTTGCGAGGTGAAATTTCGCGCATGTTGTGACCTATCTGCAATGTTCTTGGCTGAAAACATAGAGCCACTGCCTCCAAAGAGAACATGAAGACTTTTGAGAATGGCCGAGACGATGCACTTCAACTGGCACTAAACAATAAGTGTGTGCGTCCATGATGAGCTTTTTTCCTTTTTTGGAGGGGGGGGGGGAGTTGAATAACAATTCTAAGTAAGTTGTACGTCAGACTCGGCGACTGTGCCGAGCGACAAGCGATCGCAATCGCCAATCGCTCGGCACAATCGCCGAGTCTGACAGACATCTAATTGAATCATTTTCATCGTGGTTAATAATTCCGTAATTTGTACCCACAGCAACATATCACTGTGATGCTCTGTTGATGCTTCCTACAAAATGCTGTTCCTGAGCGTGGAGGCGTTCTCTGAGGCATTGTAAGCTGACGTCACTTTTAGAAATCAGGACAGGAAGAGAGGGGGCAATTGGAAATATGTATTCCTGATTATGGGAATCCCTTATTTGAAAGATTGGAGCTGGACTTCCGGCAAGGATAGGTTACAATGAACAGGTTAAGGTGAGGAGCCTTTTTCTCTTCTTTCTCGATCCTCGTTCCTGATTGGGTCAACGATTGGTTATTAATGATAGCAAGAAAGGTTTTATGTTTGAAAAACAGACTTTCTAAGAACGAGTGTGTTTTGTGTGGCAAGCCATTTCTCCGTCTGAGTCAACATGGGCTGGAATTACTTCCATTGGTTCTAATTGCGATAATTAGTGTGGTAATCGTCGCAGATGTTGGTGGTTACTTCCCCTGTTTTGTGAACTCTGAAATGTTTTCCATAAACATATGGCACAGCGCCTTGCTCACTGATGGGACAGGCTCTCGTGACGGCGACACGTTCAAGATAGGTGTAAAAAACCTGTGAACTCAGATGATCGAAAACAAAACTGTAATAGTTTTTATCGATTTACTTCAATAATAGTGGAGCCCAGAAGAGGGGTGAGGGGAGAAAGTATTATTATTAGAATTATTGTAAGACACTGAGGCAGAGCATTGCCAAATGATGGTGGTTCTATCTACAGTGATTTTACGCAGTCACGACACCTCGTGACTCAGAAATCTGTGCAATTTCTATGCCCAGCCCATTATTTTTGTGTCCGAGGCTCCACAGTGAAGTATCAGTTTGGTAGGAACGGGCCACAGTGTTATTAAGGAATATGTATTCATCATCAAACAGAGGAAGTTTGTTCAGCCTTTTCTGCGAACCTTTACGTACTTGGCCCGTTTAGGTCGTGAGTATGGCTTGCAGTTCCATGACACGTATTTTGAGCCTGCTCCGGAAGTCACTGAGCGCCCTGCGGCGTCTCAACTTGAAGGAGCCTCATCTTTTCGACCAAAGAAAAGTTGGTTGTGATCGATTTAGCGGGCATTTCTATTGCAATCTTCTGATGCGCATATTTTACAGATGCGGCTCTCGCACGCCCACACCTTAGCACTCCACGGCGAGAAGCTACAGCAAAAGTGGACTCAGTTGTGGCGACCAGCGTCACTTTTCGTCGTTTCGCTATGACGACGCTCGTTAATATTAGAATTTCATCTGCGTTCTTCGGATTTGTCTTACTTGAGAGTATTTTGTAGGATCAATGCGTATCTGAAGCCGTATTGACGAAATCGAGGGGTGCCGAGAGAAGGCTTATGAGCGGAGACCACCGGATTGATTCCTCCCTTCGAAATGAAGCAAAACGAAGGACATTAAATGTGCTATTGTAGCCTTGTAGATTTGGATACAGTGTGAAATAAATTCTAGACCTCCCTTTTCGTTCTTTTTCTCATGGTGTTCAAAGCCTCCTGCAAGACATACATCTGAAGGTTGTGTCATTTGCGAATTGAATGGAAAAAATAATGTTCATATGCAAAGGGGAGGGCAAAGCAAAGGGCATCTGCTTGTTCCTGTTCCAGATGCTTTTCCACTAAGTAGGAAGGGCGTTTTGGCGCAATAGTTCGTGTGGATACGGTGATCATTTTGGGACAGGGAGTCCTTCGAATTCACAAAAGGCTTTCCTTGTATGTTGTCGTGTCGTGGGAAGCAGTTATGAGTTAGAAGAATGAAGACTTTTGCCTAAGCCCCAGGGGAGGAGAAGGAGCTCCGAGGTAGATCAAGAGGTGAGCAAATTCTTTCGTACAAACGTGTTTTTGCATTTCGTGAGAATCGAAAATCCTCATCCTCCTAGGTTGCCTTGGGAGTTTTGTACTAAAATCCCCCTCCCACCGTTCCAAGGTCTGCACTTCACACATAATTCCTTATTGTTCTACGTTAAGTTTCAATCTAATTAGTTGGCTTTCCCAGAGAGCCTCAAGGTTGAAAAGGTTTTGCAACCCATGTCTGGTGCTCCGTCTCACTGGGCGAAAGATTCTCTTGAAGAAGATCGTGTAGAAACACTCATCAGGTAAGCTCATTAAAGCTTCATGGCATTTGTCTGAACTAATGCTTTATTTTACCTATTGGTTATGTGCTCGCGAAAGATTTAATAAAAAAAAGTGTAAATAGAGGAACTGGTTGTTGGGATCAACACTTAGCTGTGGTGGATTGTATGGGAGACAAGAGTGACTGGCGGCAGTGTCAAGAGCAGGTCAGTCTACAGTGATATAATGCATGCGTATACAAGGATCTACAAATCTAAGACTTGATTAGGATTGAAAATTCACCTAAATTTAGGTACAGCAATTCAAGGAGTGCATGACGAAGAGGAAGCCGCAGGCAGAGGAAAAGAAGTGACCTGCTTCACGCAAATCATAAATTTAGGTTAGGGTTGGTATACAATTACTATCTTTTCTGTTCTAATCACTATTACTATAGGATGTTATCCGATTTGTTTGCTAATTTGGAGATCGACGAAGCTGAGACTAACAAGGAGCGAGGGAGGCAGTGCACTCCTAAAGATTATTTAGCTGAAATTCACTATGTTGGATGGTTTCTCAATAGAGCTCCATTAAGTCTAGATAAAGCGGATGAAGATAGGTGAGAACATTTGAGCTTTCATATAATAATATCGTCCTCTATGACAGCTGCTTTTATGTGTCTACTGTCTATTTCTCTGGCAAAATCTTGTAATAAGGCTGGAGGTCGCTGAGAAAGCAGGTTTATCACTTCCAACAGTGCGAAGCTTTTTTCGCTACAAACTCCGGGTCCATCCCGATCATTAGCGGACCTGGGGTTGCGCAGCGACGACAAGCTTCCTTGTTGGCCACCACAGCGCAAAAGCAGCGTTCTTATCCTAGCGTCGCGCACGCTCCTGCATGAAGCGTTGCCCGTGTATGGTATGATTTATCAAGCGAACTCACGGACTAAAGTGCGCCTGCTTTGCAACAACAACAATATAAAAATTCATCCAAACTTAGATTCTCAAAAAAAAAAAACGAACCACATTAAAATTGCGGCAGAAATATCATTATCTTCCATTATTCTTTTTCTTGCCTTGATCACTATCATATTTCCTAGGTGCTCTAGCGAATAATTTTATTCCATCCCACAAATTGTCTTCTGAATTTGTGAAACGGCTAGGTTGGGTCGACTAGTTTAGTGAGCATCCTTAACCATCTTTATTCGGTCATCGAAATCGTTATAATTTTCTTGAAGGATATGTACTAGGCGCGAACAATTTTTGAGATGCGCCACGCATTCATCTATTCTGAATCTTACAGAAGTCTCGTTTACGTAATTTCAGTCTGTTAATCGTCCCAGACAAGGGGTACTACATATGATCAGGATTTTGTCTTCCATTTAACTTCAGGTCTTGACAGTTCTCAGCGATCATCTGGCTCACAACCAGTGTAGTGATTTGCTACTTTGGTAGAATAGCCAATAACGCGGTCTATATTGCTCAACTGTTACAAATAAAAACAGCTGTCATGTTTTGACTTGTGCGTCTCTTTTAGTTTTTTAACCGACAACGGAGCCTGTGTATAACATGAAAAACGTCCAAGAATTTTTGCCTCTAAACCTTGAATTTTCAGGGACCTTATCAGTTACAAAGCTGCATATTTTTATCACCATAGAAAATATAATGAAGCATTAGACGTGAGTGCCTATCGTGAAATGTTTTCTTCATTTTGAAATTCCGTTTGATTTTTTAAGGAATATATTGCCCTTTTTTCGGAGTATAAACACAGTCGTACTCATACCGTGGCTGTTATCGACTCACTTGTTCGATCCGCGTTAAAGTTAAGTTGAAAAGTTTCATTCTATTACTACAACTCAAAACAGCAATTATGATAAGGACAGTAGAGCTTGAAAATAATGTCTTTCTCGAGTGTGGAAATTCCAAATGGAAGACTTTCTGTTGCTTTTGTGGACGATTACTGTAAAGGGGTACGCCCAAATTTTGCTATGATGTTACTTCGTTAAAATTATCGTTGATGCTGCCCTCAATTTTCATGGATCCACGCTGGGATTGCTATTGTGTCACTTTTTCAGATTCCTTCGTTTCCTGTAGAAGAAATATTATCTTACCTTCGTGAGTACGAGCAGTGTGCTCTCGACTATGGCGACCAATTGCAATATTTGAGCATGAAAAAAGATGTATATGCCGTTATTTCCCTACCGGATGCTTCACAGAATTTCATAGACACGGTCTGTCTTCTTTGTGCCTCTGTGGATTTGCCCGAACATTGGTTAGCGTTTGGGCAAAGGCACTCTCTGGAATGTATGTTGATTCTACTAACTTTATTTCATACTCAATAGTTTTCAAAACTGCAATGTTTTCAGGTAGGCAACAACTTTCGTATAGGCTATGTAACCAGGGCACATTTATTATTGGAACGGCATTTGAAACATGCTCACGGCTTCGTAAACCGGGTTGTAAACAAAAAGATGATGGATCTACGTGAACAGTTAACGAAAATAGGCATCACTTGAAAGTTCTCTCTTTAATTTCTGCAAGGTTTGCCAAGTCGTTTGCCACGCGAGCGGAACAGCGGAGTGACAGTGATTGACGAATTATGAATTTTTTTAAGTGTATACTTTCAATTCAAGGAGCACCTTGTCCACCGATTAACAGCTTTGGTACGTGACCTCCCGGATCTGACTCTCAACCAACGCAATTTTTTTTTACTCATCCACATTTTTTAGTCTATGGGCTTTGCTACTGACTTACTAATTTCTGCTCCAGAAACCGTTCTTCTGGTGGGTGGCCCGACAGGCGAAGCTCAGCTTAGCTCTTACATGCTCTTATATCACACTTTTTGGCCCACCCCCCCCCCCCGTCATTCGAAAATTGACCTGACCTCTCCAGATGGTTCTCGTGGAAGGTAGCGCCTAAGCGCTTTTGTTCTCTGAAACTCCTCTTCGCACTCGTTGTCTAATTTTCCACCAAAATAACACGTCAGTGCAATCGTAACCCGTGCCTTCAAAGTTCTTTGTTGCAGATCGAGGAAGCACGGCAGAAAATGGGTTTCGACATGGTTTCTCATGACGAAGTTGTAGAGACGAGCGAAGAAAAATCTCTGCCCGTTCACGACATCCGCTCGAAAATAGAGGTTTACAAATCAGCCGAGGAGTGTGAGATCATAATTAAGCGTTTCAAATGCAAGTTCAGCTGGATGTTTGAAGGATGTGCACTGCGATGAATTCTAGGTCTGCCACACTTTTTGCAGCTTTTGATTGTTGCGACTGATGACATAACATTTTTGTTGAGGTTGTCTGTTGTTGTTGATTAAAATAAATCTTTTGTGAATAAGCGTTTAATTGTCGAAACCCACAATATCACCAGACTACTCTGTTAACCGTTCTATCCGTTAACTACCCATCATGGCCAAATAAACACGAATAAGTTAGTTTTTATTGCAAGGATCATTTGCTGTACCTAGTTGTTTCTATGTTGAACCACTAATCATCATCAAAGGCGGTGCTAGAACGGAGTAAGCAGACGAGTTTCGTGATGTCTTAATGCACCTCATAATACCTCATAATAGCATAAGATTCTTTACTACTGGAACTCGTTTTCGTAGAAACGTAAATGAGGAAATGGGTGCCATGACAAACGTTTTTTCATCACCAACGTATGGAAAGAAACACTCCCCGTTTCCCTCGTAAAAGTAGATTGATTCACTCACCCGGCTCCCTCTAAAAATTGGTACTGCTGTGGTCGGTACAAACTAGCGCACCACAATGCCCTCGCCAAATGAACTGCATAGTGATTGTGAAGATGATAAGTGAGTCAGGACGCACTAAAACGACTTTCGCCAGGAATATTTTTGCTAGAACTTCAGAAATCTGTCCGGCTGCATGTGGTTCCGGGGGGGGGGGGTGAGTACGTAACACTGCGTCAGATACATAAACGCTCAGTTTAGGACCAAGCCTTAGGAGGAAGAAGGCATCCGAGATGCGTCAGCAATTCTAATTCTCTACAGAATTCGTCCCTCTCTGTTAATCTGTCCCCCCCCCCGAGCACATTCGGTCATCTAAACTCCTTATGCTAAAGTCCACCGACTTCAAAGTGTGAGTAATTCTAATGTTCCAGAACGGTCGCCAGATAAATACAGTCGATATCGAAGCTGAAGGAAGCCTTCTCGGTGCTATCTTAGTTGGGGGGGGGGACCACGCGGCGGCGCGGCGCTCTGTTCGTCTGCTCCTCCAAAGGCTTAGTCCAGGGGCAGTTACTATTTCGCCATCACGTGGCAGTTTGTTTCGAAATACGCGCCATCGGGGACTAAGCCTTGCAGGAGGAGGACGAACAGAGCGCCGCGCCGCCGCGTGGTCCCCCCCCCCAACTAAGATAGCACCGGGCGTGTATCGGAAGAGTCATTTAATGACGTGCACTTGAGAGGAGCTGCGTGGATAAGCTCTTGCCAGCATGCTTTGCTGATATCCAGCGATGTGTGTTGGAAGCAGCTTATCTACTACATATCCTCTATCAAGTGCACGTCATTTCCGACAAAACCCCTACCCCAACTATCGAATGTCGAGTGTACAAAACGCTGAAGTACCAAGCCTTGCCTTGCCAACAAGTGCCCTGAGACGGAAATAATGGTGTGTGGTGTTAACTGTGATCGAACACCATATTTGACGCCTAGACTCACAAAAACAATCGTGGTCTACTCATCGTTACCGCGTGATCATGGAGGCAGGTTAGCTGTTCATGTTTATAGCACTTTGCTGTCCATCTTATTCAATCTTAGTTTTTGTCACATGTTTCGACACATAAAGACCTCCTATTTACACTTTAAAAGCGTCCATGAACAAGTTAAGGAATGTTGAGTGAATGGGTAGGTGGGGACCGTCCGGTGGTGCGACGTCTGTAGCGAGATGGCAGTAAGCATGAGTCAAGCAAGGAGGCTCAAAAGTGCCGGAAGTTGGATTTCGTAAAAATCGCAAGCATATTGTTCACAACCTACCTGTTCCTTCGGCTCAAGCTTATTAGTGCCATCTTGCTTGAGAGACCCCGTGCAGCCGCGTGCTTCCCCCAACTTACTTAACACCCAGGTTTATCAGGCTCGTCATTAGCTAACTTTGCAAGCACTATCAGATAGTAAGGTCACATATGAGAAAACAGAGTAAGTCACAACGTTCATGCGAAAAGCTTATCATTAGCATACAGAAGGCATAGCACATAATGGCCCATCTTCGCTCTCGAATCGGTAGAGATCTTTAGAAATGTGGAGTTAAAAAATGTTTGGGTATTAAGCGCACGTTCATAGATCGCGAAGGGTAGGGGACGGGAAAGGAAGGGGATGGCCAGTCACTTAAAATGCGTGAATAGCTGAATTGCGAGTTGGTCCACAGTCTACTTTAACCCCATCCTTCAGAAACCGTGAGTCTGCTGTCTTCGTCAGCGCTTTCTCCCTAATTATCGGTTCATAACCACAGTGACTCACACCCTCTAGCTTTGTCACGTAAAAAATGGCTCACGCTATCCCCCGCCGGAGTGATCATTTTGTACTCCTACTGACTAGTATAGGGCGCCATTCGTTGCGGGACCCACTGCCTTAACCCGCGGGGATCCCATGTGATCGCGGTTGAATTCGAACATTCCAGCTTCTCACGCATGTCAAGTGTCTGCCCTCACCCCCCACCCCCCTAGACTGGCGACACTGCCCCTGGCTCACGGATTCCCCGCTCCACATTGAAGGGTTCACTGTAGCAGGAGGCAGTGGGACCCGTAACGAATGGCGCCCTTTACTAGTCAGTAGGAGTACAAAACGATGGCTCCCCTCCCCGGGGAACTGCCTTCGTTCTCCTGGCACATGGCTCGCGTATCCCCGTTGGGTTCCGTTAGAAGCTGTTATAGGTGCTGTGGTGCTAGCGTAGTCAGGGGCTGCCCGCCGCGCTGCGCAACGTGCACACGCCAGTTGATTTAAAGGAAGGAGTACGTGAGCAGGGGTGGGGGGGTGATTCAATAGTACAGAAAGCAAATAACGAAATTGCGATGACGCGAAACGAAAATCAGGAAAAAAAAAAACCTTTAAACTTTGGGGGCCTTTTTTTACCCCTGTTTCAAAAACCCGCTGGTCATGGGTGGACCTGAGGTTCTTGCCAAAGCTTTCACACCCCGTGAGCCGGGGGAATGTAGGCAGGGAACTCAAGAATAGTTGACATGCGAGAAGCTAAAACGTGCGATTTTACACTGCTTCGCTAAGAGGATGCAGACATGCTAGGCGGTGCAGCAACTTCTGCCTCCCCTGACTCCTGTGTCTCTCGGGTGTGGTTCATTAGGAATTGAAAGCGAATTTTCTGCCTTTCGCACTCGCGGCAGGAACATCAGGTCGACTCTTCATCAGTGGTGAACCTGGGGATCCCGCAGCGGGAGAAGTTCCGCGCTACGAAAAGCGGCAAAGTCGCTTTCTGTCCAGTGATCCCGCCTCCTTCTCCTCTGCCTGTGATACTCGACTTCTTTTTGATCTTGATTGATATAGAGTAAATGTGCTAATTAAGAAGTGGGCACCATGGAGAAAAAGGATGAAGAAGAAGATGTCTTCGAAATCGATGATTTCACCGTCATAACGGAGTTTGAGCACTTTGTAGTAGCCATTGAAGCACTCATTCAAGAATGGGGGCTCGTTGGTGCAAGACAGCGCAAGAAATACCCGAAGGAAAGTTGGTCTATTCAATGCTTGTCATTCCAGCAGGTGTGAAGAGAGTACTGACTATGCATTTTAGGGTTTTTTGAAGTCTTGCTCATGGCAACAGAAATCGGCAACTTTGAGTTTCGGTGAATCCAACAAGCTCAAAGCTACTTATTGCTATCCCGATGTGGTGAGTTTTTTTTTGAGCACTACATTATTTATATAAACGAAGATTTAAAACTTCAAGGCTGATGATGTAGTTAAAGAACAAACAAATTCCGAGTCTGACGGACATCTTCCGTCGTTTGCTATCGATATGTCAGATGCCGAAGTAGACTTCAGTTACCACAGTAACATAACAACCATGGTAAGGTTGCCACCGGCATTTCTCATAGATCGCCCTGTCCAACGGCAATTACAAAACCGCTGTTTAGTATGGTGTGTCCGAATACATACTGTTCTCACCGGCCGATCAAATAGACGACGCTATAATGACTGAGGATCAGAAGAATGTAGTTGTCAGTGCATTTCGTGTTGCACAGCACAGCGTTGACTGGTAACTGAATATGTCATAATTCTTCTATTCAGTAGCTTTGCTTTAAAACTTTCGTTCATTTGCAAATTAATTAATCTACTTAATACGGTAATCATTTCAGTGAGGTTCCGATGTTCATACAGTTCGGACACATTGATAGACAACTGTTCTTTGGGTCATCCTGCAATAAATCCGTTGTTGCTCATTACGGAGTGAGTACATTCCGATGGCTTCACTTTTTATTAAATTAGAAATAGAAAAAAATAGAAGCGCATTCGTCTTCAAGAACAGAAACACTTGAAGCTTTACTACGCTTCAAGTGTTTCTGTACTTGAAGATAAGGGCTCAATTAATTTTTTTTTCTCTCGCCAATTTTTTTGTGTGGCAGCTCTTGCCAGCTCCCAGCCTAATCTTAATTTGTATTGTCCCTGGGCCACAGTTAGTGAGCCATTGGTTATGTTGAAGCGAGCGGTGTCGAATGCTGTATGAAATCGAAGAACTATGAAGGCGGAAAAGTGGAAAAGAATAACGTCTCTCTTGCCCACAGTTGCCATAATAGAAGGGACCTTCAATCTTTGGGCTGCATCATCATCCTGTATTGGACTTTGTTCCCGCCTAAATGGCATCTCATGATCTCGCATATTCCAACTTTCGCAATACGTTAAAGGCAAAAGTCGGGCTCAATAAGGGGGTATTATGGCGATTGAAACTGAGTATAGAGATGCGAAGTGGAACGACAGTGGAGAAAAAACTGAGAAAAACCGTCGACAAGGCCGTTAACAAAACCCTCTTTCCCACTAGCAGTGAAGGAGGCTGGCTTGGGAAAGAGGCACGTACAAACAAGTTTTCTGAGATGTCAGTCGTTCTATCGGTTGATACGGCAATCAACCTAGCTGATTTCACACGTTATGCCAGCCACGCACCACTTCCGGAGGTGGGCGGTCCTGGATTGACCAGGCGGCCCTGGATTGAAACCGAACGCCCCGGGGCCTTAACGGGGTTTTTCAAGGTGGGAAGTTGCTGCAATGTGTGCAGCTACCCACATACAACCTCCAGGCACGGGAATTACTTCTCTAGCGTGCCTGAGCCCGACCTTTGCCTTTAAGTAACCTGTCCATCTCTCCCTTTCTTTACTTGGCGTGGTGTTTAGGCCATAACCTTCTCCTCTTGGCATTGTCGAAGCTTACTATCATGGATGTCTGCGGCGTATCGAAGGATCGGGTGGAGCGAACGGGAAGATAGGCGTTGAATTATTGAAGTATTCCTTGATCTCTAGAACCTTCCTCCGTGGACACACGCTTTTAATTTTGTTATGTGTGAAAGATCATTGTTGAGTCCTACCTGGAGTTCCCTTGGGAAATGAAATTCAGTGCCCTATATATGATTAATTTTGAACTAGAGTTACATGAATTTTGAACTTGGACTTCTTTTCCACTTATATAATACTTTCCCTCCAGGGTTCGCACTTGAGGAAAGGTCAAATGCGTCATATGCATCTAAGTGGCTTACTAGATCTTTTCAAAGAACATGTCGTAAGTGATACTCGAACAGTTCTTCATCTATACGGCTACTTTTACTACTCTTTGCATTTCAGAAATGTCCCCTCTCACTGCTGGAAACCGACGACATTCGCGTGTCTATCCAATTCGATTATAATATAAAGGTATACCTGCCTAGCTTAGTATCTCGATCAAATATCATAACATATCCCAATCAAAAAAAGATCCGTCGTAATTCAGTTTCCTGCACTTCCACAGAAGGAAATTGACGATTCATGTGAGACACTAGATTGCTACAACCTCCCATTTGGTAGTCGAGATGAGCCGATCAGGTATGTTTTCTTCATAACGCGAGCAGGTGAATTTAGCCGAGTAGCTTCTGTAGTCGTGCTTATGAAAGCATTGCATATATCTCCGTGCATAAAGGCTTCTTTATACATATTTTCTGAGCCTTCTTTACTTTGCTGCTGCCAATTTCCAACTTTTCTCATCTCTTATTTCCAAAAATGTTTAAAGGCTCAAGTTAATTCAGCGAGTTCAATCTCATTGCATCTTGGCCGAATATGAAGGAAGAAATGATCAACGAAAACGAGGTGGGAGTTCCACGTTCAACGAAGGGTTGCTTGCGAGAACGTAATGTTAAATCGTTTGCTTGCAGTATCACAGTGACCTCGATCCACTAAATGCATTCAATTGGTCTGGTTCTGTCGATTTTCGGTACACGGAAGGATTACTAGGTTTGAATTCCAGTACCTGTTGAAGTAATTCCGTGCAGCAAGTGATTTACAGGCTATGTACTTGCACGTGTAATTGATCTCCCAAAGTCAAGGATTCTTCAGAGAACCATTCCACTGCTCCGCGTGGCGACATTCCCAGTAAGGTTAGTCTGTGAGCCGTCACTTTGTTATAGCATATTTTAGTTCCCGTTATGGAACCGCCACTGAAAGTGAGTCGAGCTTCACGAGAGCTGCTTAGGGGGAGGGTGGTGTAGTAACCAATGGCGTGCCATCGCCACTTACCATCGCCGGCCCGTAACACGATCGAGATTGAATCTGGCTTATACCAGCCAATCTTTCCATTTCGTAGGGGTCGCTGAGCGCACTGCAAGTTGTTCATAGGCCAAATTTAGTCAGAGTGTCCTTTTGGGATGCACCACGCGATGTGTCCATCCAACAGGAATTACGTCAACGTCAGCGTGAACTTAGTCTTCAAGCGACACCAATTTCCGTATCACGCAAACTCTCTAACCCTTCTGGGTGCATCGACCCAAAGATAGCGTTAGACAGTTACCCTTGTAAGGTATTTTATATAAGCCATCTCAACACGTGTACGGCAGACCGCTTGTGCGGCGCGCACGCTGTATCACCTGCATAGGCCTGTCAGTGTCGAGCGACGTGGGACGGGGCAATCAAAAATTTTGAATTTATTCCCGCCTACCGTTCCATTCAAACTCTTCTTCTTCGCTAACATCTGCTGCTTTTGTTACTGGGTCGTCCGGAAGGTGATTCATGGGTTCAATTCGCCACCACGGTACACGCTCCTCTCGCCTTATCATTTGACTACCTCTCCTTCGCTATCCTGCGTCCTCTCTCTTTAAGGTCATTTGGAAGTCTTCATCACATTAAAGGACGAATTCACGATGAAAAAGCAACCCATTTCAAATTAACCTAGGGATGGTGAGTGGTACACGAAAGAAGGAAGAACCATGAGAAACGGCCCAGAACCCGAGAAATGGGACCCCTTCCCTTGCCCGTTGATTTCGCATTGATGCGACTCTCATCGCTGTGCCCTCTTCAACACTACGCTCTCTCACCTATCTAATCACTCGCCACGTATAGACCTGCGGCGAGTGATCAGATGATCGGTGGGCGTGCACTGGCCCACCGCGCCAAGATTGAGCCTTAGGTCGCCGAGGTCAACTCCTTCGGTGCCAATTGCGCTTCAGTCCGCACCCTAGGAGGTCCGCGGGTCCCTCAACTTGGAATTACTCCTTCGATTTCATTCTAATCGTGAATTCGTCCTTTAAGAAGCCCAGTAATAGTACTTTGAAGTTAAGGTAGAGGTGATCAGTCATGAGGGGGATTAAGAAAAAACATGAGGAATGGCCACAGAATCCGAGAAACAGGACCATTCGTGCTGGTTTTCGCATCAATGTGATTAACCCACTTCCTATGCTCCGCCTACCGTTGATGGAACCCACCTAGCTGGTGTGTGTTTCGTGCTTCTTGGCCTAGGTCTTACCCACCACAAGCCTGACCTAGCCTACTATGCGTATCTGCAGGAAATGCCGAATTCTGTGGCAGGCACAGGGGCGAATAGGCAGATGGGCAAAGCCGATGATAGTGAGTAGTTGATACACATACAACTTGGAATGTAAGAAAAAGTGCGGAAACCATGAGATTAGATCACTGGACTTCATCATACACCAGATGACTTGGAAATCTTTTATGCTGCTTAAGCTACAGTTTTTTTGAACGTCATGCGCAAAAACATACTGTGAGCAAGTCGTGATTATGGTAAGCATTCTGGCTGATGTAGAGCTCTTCTTGAGTAATTGGTTTTTGATTTTTCGACAGGTGGGGGTCGTATTCAAATGAACAATGTATGCATCCATTTATTACAATGAGAAACGCGACATATTCATGCTGGTCATGATCAGTTTTCAGAAGCTTTTGGGCAGCTTACTGACGGCGGTATCCAAAATATTCGATTTGCTGGTGTTTCCAATCTTTCTATAACGAATCCTGGCGGTTTACCTCTCGATGAAGTACTGATGCCAATTGCAAAGGTGCGTGCTACTATGCAGTATATCGCGTGCAGGTTTGAATGCAGCACGTATATCAAACCTTTTTTAGTCGGTAGTTCGTCGTTGCATGGATAGAGTATTTGAAGTGGCAGATGATAATGAAGATATAGACGTGAGTGGAAGCTTCAGTCAACCTTTAAAGAGCACCCCCGGCAGTGCTGTCAGGAGCAGTCCGGTAATTAAAACGCAGTACATTTTGGTTGCATATATTCAATCAGGATTTTCATAGGAACCGAGTGCTAATCGTCAGGCGCCATCGCGCGATACTACAGTATATTTGTAAGTTCTCTGGTTTGTCAAATCACTTTTACCTGTGCAGGTTGTGACATTAGGCAGCTCTAAAATTTTGTTTTCTTCGAGAAAGAAGAAGCAAGAGTAAGGAAATTGTGAACTGTGTTGCACTTCCATACTCATCCACAAGAAATATATGTGGTCTGTAAAAATTGGTCATAAGGACTTCACAAAGCGAAGCTAAATTTCTGGTGTTAGCGCTAAACTTCCACTGTGATTCTCAGGAGTCGTGTGCCAATTATGGGTACAAGCGAACGATTAGAATGGGGATTAGGGCTAGGCAGCATCAGATGTCTTTGGAACTATGGTTGGTCAATACTAACTGAAAATATTATTTTTTGGATAGAGGCTCGAAGCGAGCAATGAATCACATCGAATAAATACGGTTGTATCGAATCTAATAGGATACAGAGTTGAAGGGTTCCTGTTGATGATCAAAAGTAGATCAGAAGTATTTCTTTACTCAGAGGGCTGGGAACGGGTGGTGGAATCGACCACTGATTAGATACGGTCGTAGAGTTTAATCTTCCATGAAGTCGAATGCTATCGATGAAAAATGCTTGGTTTCGGGGACAATGCAAAAACGGAGTAGACACCGTTGCGTGGCGCAACTTGCGTGGCATGCTCGGCCCGTTCCAAGGCAGCCATATAGACACTCTTGGTATTGCGCTTAGCGTTATAACGAATGAACATGTGTAGCAGTATAGTTTGGGATACATACTATACTATACATTGCTTCAGTAAAAATTATTAGATAAAGTCAAATTCCGATGAAAGCGGCAGGAAGAATTTTTATATCCAGATGACCTGGTGGTATATATAGGTGGTGTGACCTATTACCATTGTCCATGTCTACATAAACTGTCCTGAGATGAATGTGATTCAAATCAAAATGTTATACATATATATCAACAAAGTCAACCACCTTGTAGGCACCACTGAGCCAGCGGTAGTGGTCTGTATTTAGGTTAATGAGATGCAAACTGCATCCGCCCTACATGCTGCGGTCTCAGACTTGGTTATCCTACTTGGCAGTTAACTTTGTTACATATGTTCTGTAAATAGTCAATTGGTGCAAACGATGATCTCAGTGAAGACTCCCCACCACCTCATCTAGGATAGCATAAATTTGATATATTGTGTTCGCTTTTTGAGCACAAACGCTGAGGCCCGTATGTGGCTAATGTTTACATGCTATCGATCCGCGGCTCTGGGGGCATTGGGTGGATGCACTGCGATGAGGATTGGAGCGCTGGGGTCCGGCTTCCTCCTTGCTAGGAGATCTGTTTTCTCAATCGGCGTTATTTAACTGGATTTGGACCTGGCGGATGTGGGGACGTCGCGGCTGTCGATGCGAAACTGCTTATGAGTTTATTCACCTGCGCTAAAGAACTGTTTCCAAGCTTCCTATCTTTTGTCCTTCCTTACAGGTGTCTTCCCTGTCTATTTCTATCTCCAATTGATGCACACCTACAGTGTATTGATATAATAAATAATAAAACAAATACCCCTAGAACGTCAAAAGGGTCACCCGCCTGATTGAAGCCATCATGGCGACCCCCGTATATCCGCTCATCTCTAGTTCTATAGTGACGCCTTATAAGCAAGCTAGTTGCATAATTCTGCAACAGTATTTTCTCGAAGTGCCCTGCTCTATGGCCCTGGTCCTTCTGAGAGCTTTGCTCTCAAAGTGTTGCAGTTGCGCTTGACCATCAATGAGTATCGGCCCAGAGTCGATGATCGGGTGCGATGGACATAACACACACTCAATGTGTTAATGTCATAAGTCTTTCGTACGTGATCGATATAGGATCTGGCACAAATCTAACTTTTTGGTTCTTACTGTTAATAATAATGTTTCACAAGAATGCTGGGTTGTGAACAAAACTTTCGCCCCAGGCGGGACTAGAACCCGCACCTCTCGCTTTCCGGGCAAGTGCGCTACCAGTTACGCTACCGGGGCACCATTTCATTCCAACTCAGCTTTTCATGGTATACGTACCATAGCTTTCAGCACTCACACGTCTAACGTGTTGAGCCGGTTAGCCGATATCGGCAATGACCGCGAGGCTGAAAGCTTTAGCAATGAATTTTGACTTGTTTTTGTTTGTTAACTGCTGTTTTTGGCCGCAGTTCGCCTTGCGAATGTTTCACAAGAATGCTGGGTTAATAATAATCTTCTGAATAATTCGTTATAGGCAACGCTTCGACAAAATAAGTGGACTCCACCTGATTCGTTGACATGGCGTTTTGCGATGTCTTTCGCGAATGCCTCTGTTGATTACGATTTTGGACCGCATGGATTTGCTCAAGTATGGCTCGAGTTCGTGAAACGACTGCGCACCTATTACGACAGTACAAAAGACTTACCAGGGTTTGTTATCTTTCCTCACTTGTGGTCTTTGTTTTCTTCTTTACAATGCTATTGTGTTTCATTATTAAGTTGATGCGTAATTAATGATGTTCGTAGAGTAGAAATTCGTTAGTGTTCAACCTTTGTTATTGTAACACGATGTATTTTGCGCTTCTCCTCTTGCCAGGGCTGCATTTGGGCAATTGCATACGCGTTAGTTCTTTGGGACGTGTTGTAGAGCTTACTCAGTTGAAGAGCTAGTTCTGGTTTAATGGTAAGACCATATAAAGCACGTTATCGTGAGCGCTATCTTTTACCTCATAAAGACCTCTATGACATTTGCCATCGGTTGTGCTTTAATGTGAACAAACTCTCAAAAGAAAGTCCCGGTCATTGAACGGCGGCATTAATCAAATGAACGCTAGTATGTCTTACATTAAAAGTCGGCAGAAAGCCATGAACCGTAAATCTTTATTTTCTATCTACAATTCCTATTTGTTACGATTATGTGTACTTGCTTACTGTGGCTTTTTAGACTGGGTAATGTTACGCAACCAAATCTGTCTCATTGCCTTCTACATCAGAAAATCCAGATGCTCCAATGCTGTATTTCTGCGAAGAGAAGACGGCATGAATTATATGATAACACCAAAGATTTTGGCGGAGGTAATTAGGGCTAGGACCTACGGTTAGATCGGTAGGTTTTCGGTTGCTTTACTTGTGTATTTCAGACGAGTTTTTCGATGCTCAGTCAGATCAATCTGATGCGGATTCTTCGAGTACCGGCTCAAGAAAAAGTTCGGCAATAACTCGTCAAAGGCCAGCAAGCCTTCGTCGGTAAGACTTTGTCACTCCTTCCCATCCAGGTGCGTCGCAAACTTCACCTATCTCTAGTGGTGTGTTTTAGATTCAGGAACCTTCTGGACGTCTTCATCCTTTTGGAGAAATGCGATTGCTCAAACACAAAGGACACACCACTTTACGTTCCCATCACGCAGGCAAGGCTTTCAGCAAAGCCTTTACTGCATCTTGCTTGCAAAAACAGTTTTTTTTAAAATATAATTCAGGATCGTAGCCCAATGACGGAAGACATGGTTGATGAATATGCAAACTATCTTTCATCATTGGACGACGGAGAAGCGAGAGTTCGAGCACAGTTGGACGTCCTTTGCAGTGACATGCAAGCATTTAAGGTGTTGTGTTGGCTCAGTCACAGCGATGTTGCTGCTTCATTCTTTGTAACTGCAGGCTGCTAATCCAAAGTGTTGCTTAGAAGATTTTATCCGATGGCATTCACCCAAGGACTGGATAGAGGAGGAAGGTCTGTGAAGCTCAATCCACATCCTACTAGATGTATTATTGTAAGAAATGTTGAAGGCGTCGTTTCAGAATGCTTGTCAGAAAGGATGCAACTCCCTGACAATACTTGGGTAAAATGTTGGAATGAAGCCATGCCAATTCCTGTGATAAATCAAGCACGCTTGTTCAATGAATCGAAGATAGCTGAGGAGGTAATCGAAGGTCTATTATCATAGCTCCACCAAATTTGGCGAAAGCTAATCCAAAAGTCTCCATTTTGTCGTCGTCTTTATACTCTATAACAGATTCTATCGCTACTGGAGAATGCAACGGTTCAACAGATGGTGGATTTTATTCGCCCGGTTCTGTTCGTTGCAGCTGTTGTCCAAGTTGTTCAAAGAGGTTTTTTTTTCATCCCTAAATACTATCGATCGTAGTGAATGAGATGATTACTCTCAGGAAAATGTGTGAGAAATCTACTCAACAAAGAGGTTTTGGCTGATTCAGTGTATCGCGCTAATCGAAGTGGATCTCGGTATGCTTGGTTTTTTTTTGCATCCATCACTCTTCAAAAATGCTCTATATTTACTATTGGTGTTTGTTTTAAGAGACGATTTTATGGAAGCTTTGAAGCATTTAAAGGCTGCGGAACTTTTTCTTTCCCAGTATTCGAGTCTTCACAGCAAAGCTACGAGTCTTTGAGGTGCGTTTCCAGTTGGACTTTTAAGCCCGACACCTCAACAAAGCTTAGACGTTCAATTCGTGATCGTAGATTTTTAGCACATAGGTAACTTGATAGAGCCACCAACGGAAGACGACCTCTTCAGTTTTATAACATCTCTTATTGAGGACGCTTCAGCTAAAAGGTATGTTTATTAGTAATTGTGGACCAACTGTTTTGAGCCATTTTACCTTACCTTATCTGAGAAATTCATGCAGGTAATGTTTTTAGGGAATCTATCGAGCGGAACGTTATCTCTCGGGGCGTCCCTATTTTTGGTTAGTTCATTTTCATGTTTGCATTGTGATTTGCCGCGCTGCAATATCGCCTTTTCAGGTGCATCTGATGGACCACTCGGTAACGCCGTTCGAATCATGATGGAACGAGACGATGTAACGGGTGGAAAATTACCCGCCCCATCGCGGTATGGATTTTTCCAAAATACTATTATGAGCGGTTGACCAAGTTTTCTTTTCTTCAGACATTTTGAAATCCGCAGTATGGGGTAGTCTGATTCATAGTCTCTACATGTTTCAGAAGACAGTACATCATAAGGTGGACGGTGCCACGACCATCAGCGTGCAGTCGTCTGGTACCTCAACGCTTATTTGCTTCGATTGAGCAGGACGAATTTCGGTTATGTGGTGCTTTTGCTGAAGACTCTGTGTACATATAGGTACACGTTTTTGGAACGAAATAGGTTTTTATTGGAAGGTGAAATTAATAGCTTATACTCATAGCATCCGGAAAGTTTGAGAATTCGACGTCAACGTGATAAGAGCGAATTCGTTCGTGGCTCTTTGGGGACACGACCTATGGAAATGGATTCTCCATGTTTCACATCTACGGGCGGGATTTGAGTTGTTGCTTGTTTGGTGAAGGCATTGTCTTGGGGTTTTGTTGAATTCTTAAAAGTGTTGCTGGTGGAGGCCCAATGACGGTTTCATCAAGATCATTTGTTTGCCTGTCGTGGAAGAGTTTGGTGGTCTGTAGCTAGTCTGTATATTGAAAATGTGATTCTTTTTTTCCTGTGAGGTTCTTTGCTGCATCAGTGTTCATAAAATTTTTCCTTATTCCTTCCACTTTCTTTTCAAAAACGATTGAAACGACAGATAGTGCCGCTGACAGTCGTGCACCGTCTATGGAAGACATGAGATGGTGTCGTTTTTCGTTTTCAGGAAAATCTAGAGCGCGGCCATCAGCGGATTCACTAGGCGCCCATAATTAGAAGCGAGCGCATCGGAAAGTTTTCGACCGATGAGTTTGAAAAACAGTTACTGCTAAAGTAAAATTCAAGTAGCTCGAACTTTCCCATTAAATGCAAGAAACTTCTATCCCCGTATTCTGGAAGGAATCGAGGCAATTGAGCATCCGTAAGTTCTCCGAAATTATAAAGTTATAGCTACCGTGCACCATCCTCTTGAAAGCATCCCTATGTGTAGGATTACCAAGCTCACATGACTCATACACATATACTCGAGATCCGTAAGTTGGGGTAGGCGTGTCACCGGAAGTGACGTGTACTTGATAGAATCTATGTGGATAAGGGGCTTCCAATATACATCGCGAGATATCAGCAAAGCATGCTGGCAACGACTTATCTACGCAACTTCTATCAAGTCCACGTCACTTCCGGTGACACGCCTACCCCAACTTTCGGATCTCGACTGTAATACTGAACAAATTTGTCCCATGTACACAGAGTTCAACACGTTTGACACGTTTCGGCTTTGGCCACGCAGGTCGGGCGCAATTTCGCGAGCGCGCCCTACTCACCTCACGTCCGTAAATTTTCAGTGGTCGCTTAACAAGGGAAGGATGGTAGGTCGAAGTGGCCGTTGAAATGAAATGTATACCTCCTGATGCGTCTCCAGACGCTGATTCCAAATCTGCCTTCCAAATCTGCTAAACGACTCTCCGAACGGAGTTATGAAGCGTAATAGCTCAGTGGTGATGGTCCGGGGTGGCAGGTAAAAGCTCGTAGGATCGGTTCCTTTGCAAATTGGTTGCTTTGCTTTTGTCTCTAGAAGTGTTGCGGAAAAGCAAAGCAACAAACTTGCAAAGGAACCGATCCTACGAGCTTTTACCTGCCACCCCGGACCATCACCACTGAGCTATTACGCTTCATAACTCCGTTCGGAGAGCCGTTTAGCAGATTTGGAAGGCAGATTTGGAATCAGCGTCTAGAGACGCATCAGGTGGTATACATCTCATTTTATACGGCCACTTCGACCTACCATCCTTTCCTTGTAAGCAAAAATATCAGTGGTGCACCCCCCCCCTCAGGCAATTTTCTATGCGTAAATTCTTTCGGGGTATAGTGGTGAAATTCCGCTCACGGAAACGTGTAATGGTTCTTTCCATACATTTTCATTTCTCCTTATTCCCTCATCCATATTCCTACATGTCCCTTTACGTTCTCTTCTGGCTGGTGCACGGCTGTATGGTGTAAAGCTACTTACATATAGGGTTTTACTTGTTTATGTTGTGTTGTTAACACTGCTTTTTTTGTTTGCCGATGGCGCACCTAGAGTGCATGATAAATAAATAAATAAATAAATAAACACAAACCCCATCCAAAAATATTTGATACTGACTCTCCCGCATTGTTGATGTTGGCACAACGGACAGTCGACCCTGCTTTGAAGTGTCAATAAATTGTTGACTGATGTTCGTCGAATCGTTGAGTTCTTTGTGAACAGTGCAGACAAGTAAAGTCGTAATACCGTCGCTGACGAAGTGGTTATTTTTGGAAAATTATATTTCAGAAACACACAGGTCAAAATTGTGTCTCCGTTCAAATTGCTGCGGTAGCTAGCCTGGGTAATCCACCTCACCCCGCGTGGCAGATCGAGTTAGAGAAGATTAGAGCCAAGGAGTTACATCATCTTCCGAAGATCAGAAGGCACTCCATTAGAATTAATACCGTTAGTCAGTAGTGCTGGAATAGGAAATAGACCATGAGAAACGACCTAGAACCCGTGAAATGAGACCCTTTCTTGCCCGTCGTTTCCACATTGATGCGACTCTCATCGGTGCTTCCCTCTTCAACACTAAGGCCGATGTCATAGTTTGCGAACCAGCGAATCGTTGGATCGAGCGTTGCGCCAGCGAATCGAACTATGTACCAGCGAGTCGAACTAGGTACCAGCGACTCAATAGTGGCGGGACCCAACGTTAAAGGAAGCCCGCCACTTTCAAACAGTGTCCACTGTCAAAGTCCCGCCACTTTCAAAAAGGGTCCACTGTCACGTGACTACTGATAGGGGTGGGCCGTGTCAGCGACAGAATGGTCCAGGAGGCCGCGCTCCAGTGGTCGTTGCCGCGACCCATCGCGGGGCGGGACTATGATTCTGTAAAGCGCAATTCGCTGTGAATGTTAAAAAGACATCAAGCGACTCGTTTGCTTTTGAGTATCTAAGACGGAGGGTATGTTTCAGTACATGTGCAGACTGCTCATTTATACATTCATCAATCAGAGAGAGTTGACTCGGGAATTTTGGCGTCATTCTAAAATGCGTACTTTAATTCAAATGTGACATACACCTTCCATTTTAGAGAGCTTTGCAAATAATGTAATCATGAAATCTTTTTTGGATAGTGTACCTAATACCGCAAAGCACGGCACGTGATAAATAATTAAATAACATTATGACACAGTGATTCTACTATGTACACTCTGTTTCATGCAGCCAGAAATCCACGTGGCACACGTGGCTAAATTCTCGATGAAAAGGTGACATCAAGTGTGCTCAAAGATGTTCTTGAATCGATGCCACGTTAATGCCACGTCAATTTCTGCAATTGCAGTCATTGAAGGCGAGGGTAACAATGGGCACAGATTTATGTGTAGCATTACGATATCTTCATTTTATTACCTAATCGTAAGAAATTTTGGTAAAGGCGATCTTAATGAGGTGTGGAGCAGACCTAATTTTAAGTACACAAAAGGTGCCCTTTCTATACGAGAATAATCTTGGGAATCATGTGAATGAAATAGACCATGAAGAATCATTGCTCCAATCGTCAAATTCGAATAAGGGCGCGCCCATCGAAAAACTGCCGCGTTACGACGCCGCGCAAGTGATCGCGCGCGACGGCGTCACTCCCGACGATTCTGCTAGTGCGCTTTACTTGCCCGCTTCCCGTGCGCCTTGCCGGTCCACATGGCCTGGAGCGCCATTACTACGACGTCCTGCTGTGGCCGGACAACTCGTCCGCACAACACACGCTGTCCCGTTCATCTTGCCTTGGCATCAGGCCAACGAAGCTACCCACTCTTTATTTTAGATCTCTGGGACTCAGCGAGATTTTTGAGGGCCCAAATTAATCAATTGCTGAAGATAGCAGCTGTGTGCTACGGACGAGTTGTCCTGGATCCTATGCGCTCTAATACCAATGGGCTCGCGCCATATGACCGCCTCCCCTTGAAGGTGGCGGGACTTCCTTTGAACGTTGGGTCCAGTCACTACTGAGTCGCTGGTACCTGGGGCGGTATTCAATCCTTCCCCCAGGGGGATATATCCCCCTACTCTGATTCAATCCTCTGGGGGGACAAAAAAGGGTTGCGTCATAGGACCTAGCATACCTCTGTGTTTCTACCTGCCAGACAGTTAGAGCAGCGCGACCCCTCAGGGAAAGAGTGCTTCATCAGTGGAGGGTAGTAGCGCTGCTCTGTCTGGCAGGTAGAAACACAGAGGTATGCTAGGTCCTATGACGCAACCCTTTTTTGTCCCCCCAGAGGATTGAATCAGAGGGGGGATATATCCCCTGGGGGAAGGATTGAATACCGCTCCTGGTCCGACTCGCTGGTACATCGTTCGACTCGCTTGGCGCGAAGTTCGATCGCTGGGTAGATCCTGACTAGCAGGCATTCGATAACAAGTTCCGCGCGATTGCGCCCGGGAGGGGGCGGAGGGGCGGGGGAGGGTTCCATGCTAGGTCGCCGGAGCACATCTTTTTCGGGTGAATTTCGTATCGGTCCGCACCCTTGGAGGGTCCGTCTGTCTTCCTCTAGGTAAGCTTCCCTTCCTTCGATTTTTGACCTTGTAGAGTCCTCCTTTAAGATGGTGCCGGGGTTTAGTGGATACATGCATGTTCGTAATGCTCCATTAGCAAACACAAGTGTATGACTATTGTGCAGTAAAATTCGCTAATGTGGAAGCCACATGCAAGCGTAGGAGTTGCAATTTCCTCAAGTAGGAGAATCAAGAAGGACCTAGAGGTGATGCAAGCAAGAGGAAATTGAACACGAGCTCATCTGAAGATCTGCGTTTATTATTAAATAAATCCGTAGATCAGCAGTAGTTGTTAATATTTGATGTATGTATGTGACATGTTTCTTGATCGCGTCTGTTTTACTTAAATGCTATCCTTCGATCGGATTTTCTCCCGAGAATTACTCTCTATCGAACGTTCCACCGGTTTTCCTTTGCGTTCCACAATAAGTTCGTCATCCATAGAATCTCTTCGCCTTCTTCTTACATTTTTGTTCGACTGTTTTTCCAATTCCTTCTCCTGCTTTCTCTAAACAACAGATTCTTCTTAATAACCGTAATATCTATGAGCACAAGAAATATCTCCTCACCATACGTCGTTTCATACGATATTTATCTATATGCGGTATTAGAACAGCGGCGATGGCGACGAGTGTTATGCATATGGTGCAGAACACCATAACCACCACAAACCTGCAAGTAACGTCTGTTTTAGGAAATCAGAAGCTGCTTGAGTAGAGTTCATACACCACAAGTGACGACGGCCTCCACATACATACAGTACCGTGCAGTGAAGTATTCGTTTTCACTTTTTTAAACGTAATTTCCTCAAAACTCAAGCTTTCGCAGTAAAACTTCGACAG